AACCGTGGGAGGTTCTCATGATCTTCCTCTCCGTGTAACGAAAATTCGAGTTAGTTCTGACAAAAAGTCCTCCATGAAGGCAAATTTCTCCCAATACTTGATCTAGGAGTTCCTTTGTCTTCTGGATTGGGTTGGAAATTACAAGGGTATGGAATTTAACATTAGTAGTCACAAACCCCAAAAAATTGGGTCGGCTGTTGAACGACGATTATAAAATAAAATAAAATTGGTCTCTTGAATAGGTCGAAGGAAAATGTTTCTCATTGTTAATAAAGGAAAACGTTAAAATGTTAATTATTGCATACTTAATAAATAATAGATATAGATTAAAAGACAACATAAAAATATTAAAGGGTGAGAAAGCGTTTGATTTTTGCCTAATAAATTAACAAAAAAATTTAGATAATGGATTAACATAAAAGATTAGTTAAAGTTTTTTATGTTTCATCCTCCCTTCCCAAAAATTTCAACTACCTAAAAAAATTTTGAAAAATCATGTATTTGTAATAATTTTGTAAAATACCAAAAATTTAACGCACAAATCGCTGTAGATAAATATTTGTGAGCCTACTTTTCAAAAAACTGAGTTTTTTTTTTTTGATTAATATTTTTATTTATTTATTTTTTTACTATCTGTCAGTTTAGTTCAAAATCATTTGTTTATATTTCTTGATGGCATTTTATCACCAATAAATACTCATCTACTTCCATACAACTTTCAATTCGTTCATTTAAAATGCAAATATTCAAAAGCATGAGATATAAAAATATCCAGTTGGCGTATTTTGTTGCAAGAAAAAAAAAATTCGATCTGAAGTTAAAGACTTCATAATTTTACTTTGTTTGAATAAAAAATGACTCTTTGATCGTTATTTTAAAGTAAGAGATTAAGTTAGAAATTGTTTTTTTTCCACTAATTTTCATTTAAGCAACTCTGACAGCATGACTCTGACAAAGTAGCGTCCATTATCATAATCACTCTCAGGAATCATTGAAAATTCAAGCTTTTTAATTATGCTATTAAAACTTTTAATTTTAAATCCATTTTTTTCTTCGTTAAGTTTAAGTTGTTTACGTTTTTAATGTTCTTATTTTTGTTAATTTTTTATGTCCAAAACTTTATTTTCTTCTTCATTTTCATGAATATTTTCATTATTTTGTTAAATAATTTTTAATATAACATTCTTTCTCTTCTTTCTTTTATTTTTACTTATAACTTTCTTTTATTTATCGGTACTTTTATTGCAATCGTTGACCTTGATTTCAGGAGAAGTGTGTGAGGACAAGTTGCTTTTATAATCAGAAAAAGTTATCAGTTTTCTCCGAATTGGCATTACAACCTGTTGAACACATCAATCACTAGTTGAAATCCAATGCAAACTATAAACTCAATTTGACGTTAGCTAAATCAATATTTAAAAAAATAAAATTCAACTGACCTAGCTATATTTCCAATTGTTAAATTTTAAGTGCTAGTTGGGTTTTAAGTTGCAAATTACCTTTTGTTTGTTTTACGTTTACAAAGTTTTTTCTTTATTTTTGAAATTTAAATTTTTTCGAAAATTTATAAGTTTGGAATAATATTTTAAATCCTAACCCAAACAAATGTCAACATCGTCAACTCTTGAATAGATCGTTGCACAGCTTTCTTTTTGCTTGCTTACTTAAGTCGTGGGATGAGGAAAACAAGAAATTATTGGATTGTCAATCAACTAACAAGTAATAAAAATTTATAAAAATTATATCTAAAAATCGTNATGTGTTTCTGAATAAAAATATACTCCTTTCTGCCCGCACTTAAAGAAACTGATGACAGAATAATAAATAGTGTTTCTTGCAGACGATTTTTTATTTTTTTAAAGCGAACAAAAGTAAAAATTCCTTATCACGCCTTTGATTTGTTAAGGGCATGTCAGCATGAGATGTGCCATTTTTAGAAGTCCAATTAAATCCAATAATTTGCAACGTCATATAGTTGTTTCCTTATTTATCGAAATATGTCGCCTAGTCTAGGATTCTAGTAAGACTACGAAACTATAACTTCTTTTTTCTTTTTTTTTCAATAATTGTATAATACTTATCGTAAGAGATAGCACGAATTATTTCTGTTTGACGTGTGCAACTTTTAAAAGCTTTTATATTGTTTAGAAGGCATATTTGTATAATATGATAACGAAATGAAACGCAATTATATATAGTAACGGATGATTATACTTAATTCCTATAGCGTTCTTTTCGCATTCTTATTACACTTTAGAGAGGCCAGTTATCCATATTAATATCTCATTCAAGACTATCCTTCTAGGCATGATTATATCTGAACAATTTCCTTGTTGTTGATTCTCCTAAATGTTTTAATTTTGAAGTTTTAGTAAAGTATTATTAAATTAAGTATTATTAAAGTATTATTAAAGTATTATTAATATTTAGTACTATTAAAATGTAAGTGGAAAATTAAAAAACCGAAACTAATTTCGCGTTCTAAACAAATTTCGTACAAATTGTAGCAATTAAGAAAATCGCGGATTTAAGAAGGAAAAAAAAAAAACATTAAAATGTTACGGAAATGATCGCGAAAATTGCCTAATTATAACTATCGAATCTAACTTGCACCGCATCAATCACTGTTCCATTTTTCGAACTTAGGCAATCCATTTATGAACTTTTTAGTTTAAGTATCATAGTAGATTGTACATCATACTGTGAAAATGTTATCGAAAATAAGGAGAAAGAAAAAAACTTTTTTTATTTATACCAAAAATTGCAATTTTTAAGTCAGAACAGGACTGGTTTCAAATTCCTCTTCCCCCTACTATTTAGTCCCCCCCTTCGGCTTGCACTTGATGAATTTCAAGTAATAAAAACCACATGTTGTACAAAAAACTGCCTCAAAAGAGTGTTGAAATACTTTAAATGGAAAGAAAAAAATATTATTCAAGGGTAACTGCATTTCTTAAGCGAGAAATATTCTCATGGAATTAGAACATTGGAACAGAAGCTTAATATTAATTTAATTACTATGTATACATACTCGTTTATTGAAATTGAAAGTGCAGTTTTCTGCTTAACTTACAAGCTTTATTTGAATTTACATTTACAGCTGGGGAACAATATTTGAAACATATGGTGTGTCAAATATTTTTTGAAAATTTCTGATCCTTTTTATAGGATATAATTTTCTATCTCCAAAAATAAATAAAAAATTAGGTGTGTATGTGTGCGGAGGGGGGGGGGAGATATTCTGTGTGGCTTTTAAGGACCCACTCTTCTGTTTGGCATTTTCTTAAATAAAAAAGAAACTTGATTCTTGTCATTTAAAAAAGAAATGCTTGGCAGTAAATTTCTTTGATGATATTTAAGTTTTTAAAAATCTCTGTTCTTATATATTTATCAGGGGTCGTGGACTTTAGGGACTAAGTATCTAGAAATTTCGAAAAATTTAAAAATCGACCAAAACAAATTTAATGAAAATTTGTTTCTGAAAGTCTGAGGGGATACAAAAAATTTATTTCATTTTTTTAAAATTTAATATTTCATTAATTTAAATTCATTATTTTTTTCTCTTTCTAATAAACTGCAGCTTTGGGGAAAAAAATAAGAAATAATTTCGCTTTAAAAAAAGTATTAAAAAAATAATTTGATTAATACCTAATTTTATACAATTAAATAATGTGCTTTATTTGTTTTTGCTTTAACTTATTTTATAAAAATATTGATTTATACTTTGCACTATAGATAAGAGTTGTCAAGGTTTGTAGGTGATTAATGAATGATAAACAGTCTTTTGTTTGGAATTTTTAAAGGTTATGGAATACTTTTAATTTCATTTGTTTCATTAGTTGAGTAACAGTAAGTGTTAATCATGGTATTACTGTATAATGCAGCCAATTATTATTATTTTGGTGTTGCAGTGTGAATTTGTATTTTGATTTATTTTAACTTTTTATTAGTTTTTTTTTACTTCATAACTATTATTAAAATGTGCTCCTAATTGATATATTTTATTTATTATTTGATTTACTTATTATTTTATTTATTTAGATTTGTAAATTGAAAATTTATTTTTTATTCAGCAATCCATTATACCCTGGTTAGGGTAATGAATACGACAGGTTTATTTAAGAATCATGACGATCATGTAATATAAATTAACATAATTAGGAAATGGGAGTAATTTTTTTAAAAATCAGGAAAAGTCATTTTTTTAATAATAATTTGGTTGTTATTGGAATATTTTTTTATATAGTTATACGTTTTTCAAATAGATTAAATAGGAGAAAATTAATTTATTTTCTGATATACATCTTAAACAAATTAGGCAACATAATTTTTTTTCTTTTTTTAAAGTTTTGTGTCTGTTTTCTTTTTGTCGGAAAGTGATAGAAATTTCAATTGTTGATAAAATTCTGCTTGTACTATTTAAAAATAAATAAAATTTTAAAAAAATGTTATTTACATTGGTATAAGACTGAAAACTCCAATTAAATTTTGAGTTTAGAGCTCCCTCGCTAGTCAGAAAATGGTCAATATATTGATGGACGATAGGCATTAAAAAAAATCAGAATAAATATTTTGTGTGTGGCGGTTGGGAAACGATGGATACACGTATTATCGTTTAAAAAAAAAAAAAAAAAACAGTTCGGTTTTTATCGAGCTAATAGAAAAGTAGTCAGAATTTGGATTGAATATTGCTTTCCCCCTCCCCTGATTTTGCATATAGTGATTACTTCTGTAGCATTCAGGACACTTGTAAAGTTTTGCTGGCTGGCTACCATATTTAAAGAGAACTTTCTAAAATCAAACACATTTAAAATAATATGTGTTTCTGAATAAAACCTGTTCCACGTTTAAAGATAATTTTCTTTATTAAATTTATAAAAAATTTTATTTAAAAAATAATTAATAAAAAAAAATACCCTAAAAATTTATCGAACCTTTCTGATTCATTATTAAAAAAAATTTACAGAATGATTTTTACTCATTGTATGTTATTCTTTTAGGTGTAAAAAGTAGTTCCTATATTCAAGATGATATACATTGGAAAATTTATAAATAATTTCAAAGACTTTTACAATGACATCAACTCAGCTACTTTAACAGGAGCCATTGATGTAATAATTGTGAAGCAACCAGACAATACCTATGTATGTTCACCCTTTCATGTTCGCTTCGGGAAGATCGGAGTCCTCAGGAGTCGTGAGAAAATAGTAAGTTCTTCTTTATGTTAAAGAAATCGCAACAGGCCTGTATATACCTGCCAAGTCTCCTGTTAACCCTTATATTCTCAAATTTCTCCATATTTGTTGAAGTAATTTTTTTTAAAAAAAGAACATTTGTGGCAATAAAATATCTGTTGATGGCAAAAATACTTTTCTTATTTTTCAATCGATGGAGTTATTGCCAGTACTGCAGTTATTGAGTGTTAATAGTTTATGTAATTAGGTCGGCTGTTCTAGGACAATTATAAAATAAAATAAAAACAGTTTAAGTAATTATGAATAATGGTTTAAAAATATCTTCTTTATAATAAGATTTATGTACATATTTTTTACTTCGACATATTTTTACAATTGTTCTACAAACTTTTACACTGCTTTGCTTCTGCGTATGAAAATGTTAATGTTTCAAAACGATTGTTCATAATGTATAAAGAAAAGGATCAAAATTGCAATGGCAAGTCTTAGGATCATCCTCAGGGATGTTTCCCAGACAGTTACCAATAGCCCATTTTGCAGCTCTAGTGCAACTGAAGTACTTTTATTCACTCAATCAGAGATGATTGTGCTACGGAAAAAATCCGGATTTCTGGATTTTTCGCTCACTGCGACTCGGAAATCCGAGGTCCAGAAGTTTCAAGAAATCATCGATCACATTTATGTATAAAAATTCTTCCATATTTTATTTAGAAATATTAGAACTAGAATTTATACTTGGCATCTCTTCCATTTGAGAATTTTTTTTTTTTTTGGTAGAATAATAAATGTGATTAGAGATAAAAGTAAGCTTATACATAATTATTCATTTAAATTATGTTGTATATAATTTATTCAAACTTTCATGTTTTAAAAATATCAATGAATTAAATTTATAAAGATATGAATTTTTTGAAATGCATCATTAATGATTTTACTCACGAAGTTTTCAGGATNTGTACATATTTTTTACAATTGTTCTACAAACTTTTACACTGCTTTGCTTCTGTGTATGAAAATGTTAATGTTTCAAAACCATTATTTATAATATATAAAGAAAAGGATTAAAATTGTGATGGCAGGTCTTCGGATCATCCTCAGGGATGTTTCCCAGACAGTTGCCAATAGTCTATTTTGCAGCTCTAGTGCAACTGAAGTACTTTTATTCACTCGATCAGAGATGATTGTGCTGCGGAAAAAATCCGGATTTCTGGATTTTTCGCTCACCGCGATCCGGAATATCCGAGGTCCAGAAGTTTCAAGAAATCATCGATCACATTAATGTATAAAAAATTCTTGCATATTTTATTTAGAAATATTAGAACTAGAATTTATACTTGGCATCTCTTCCATTTGAAAATATTTTTTTCCGGTAGAATAATAAATGTGATTAGAGATAAAAGTAAGCTTATACATAATTATTCATTTAAATTATGTTGTATATAATTTATTCAAATTTTAAAGTTTTAAAAATATGAATGACTTAAATTTATAAAGATATTAATTTTTTGAAATGCATCATTAATGATTTAATTCAAGAAATTTTCAGGATTTTTGAGTTTGGCTCACAATTACCCTGCTACTTCTATTAATTCTATCTTAATGCAAATCATGAATTAATGTTTTCATTGTGGCATCATGAGGTAAAATGATTGGGTATAATTACAGGTAGACATTGAAGTGAATGGACTTCCTGTTGATCTTCATATGAAATTGGGAGAATCTGGTGAAGCATTCTTTGTAGAGCCTTGCAATGATGTGGAGGTAATCACTTTGCTTATTACTTCGTAACAGTGAGAATCTTCCTCTGATTCACAATTTCTCTCTTTTTGGTATATATATATTTTTTAACGGCTTTCTAATTATTTATATTATTTCTGTGTAAGTTAAAACACATAACTATGGTTCGTTCAGCAGGAGTTGGCACTTTGCTCCACCTTCCTCATGTGGTATCCGACGATACTATGTCGCTATTATTGGAAGAAGGATGTGAACAATCCTAATCAAGGTTGCTATTTGTCGCTCGTATGAGAAAATGAGAAAAATATTTATTTCACAATCTTTATGTGCATTTTTTTAACGTTAAATATTTCATAAAATTTATCATATTTCTCTCTTTTGAGTGAATAATTTGTCTTTTCTGAGACATGTTGCTGCAATATATTTAACCCCTTAACGATCAGTTAATTTTCAAGAAAACGGTCATAAAAGTGCCTATTTTGCCAAATGCACTTATTTGATTAGTGCTGACATCAAGTTTAAAATAAACTATCTGCAATTACCTTCAAAATATCCTGGTACTGCCATCTGGTGTGTAAAATGAGAACTAAAATGTTTGCCTGGCAAAAGAAATGATGAATTAGTTTTATTCCTATTGGCGCAATACTACTGAACACTCCAGTCCAGAAATTTTACGGGAGCGAGAAATAGATGGCGAAACCTCACCCTGTCATTTTAACGGGAGCGAGAAGGAAGGGATTGATTAGCTAGAGTAGCGAATGGTATAATAGCAATTGATGAAGCGAAGTAAGTAACTGAAAAAAAATTCTTTGTTTGCGTTTTGCTTCTTAAGGGTGATTTCAATTTCAAACACGACGACATTTTGCCTCTTATTAAATGAACTATTCGCCCAAGGAGGTGGAGCTAATTGCCAACTCCTGGTGAACGAACTATACCCAGCCTTTCCTAGACCTTTCGTTATGTAAATTGGTCAAATAAAACTTAAAATCAATGGATTGATAAAGATTGAGATCAATTAAGATTTTTCAGCGATTTTGATGAGGAGATTATTTACTAATTCAAATTCATATTAATAAAATTATAAGTTTATTTAATTAAACTGAGGCTTTGATGGTCAGATTTGCTACCTTTTTTTCATATTTTTATTAATTGTTTATTTTGTTGCACGAATCAGTGATGAGAATATCTATTTGTAAGATAATTATGTTGTAACCATATTTATTGAAATTTTGCCTGTCAAAATTTGAAATTTACTAACTTATTTGTAACATCAACAGGTGCTGCCTTCTTATTTAGCGACATCCCCTCTTCCTGAGGTGCCCAACATTGAGGCTGAAATCCGGAAAATGAAACTGGAAGCAGCAGAGAAGGATAATACAAAAGAAAGCGACTTGATGCTTGAAAGTGTAGTTTGTAGTCCAAATGCAAACTGTGATAATAATTCTAGTGGCAATCTTTCCAAACAAAATATTATATTCCCCCCTCACCTCAAGAAACAAATCGATAATGTTCCTATTGAAGTGACGAACAGTGTGCATACAGACTCTAGCGATGAATATAAAACTAAGCGTAAAAGGCGAAAGAAAGTGGGCACTAAAAAACGTTCCAAAGTGAAGGAGCATCCAAAACCTCTAGTGGGTGTAAAGCAAAATGAGAAAGAAGCAGAACAAACTGAAGTGGAAGAAATTTTCCAGATGGACGAGGACTACGGTGAAGTGGAAGAGGGCAAATATGTTCAAATTTCTAACATGAGTCGATCCATCAGCCTTCCGGTTTCCTCGACTGTCGACGATCTGTTTAAGGCGGAGTGGAATCGTAGAAAACTGTCGACCACTTTCACTGGAGAATTTCATCCATTTAGTGATGGAGATGTTACTCCTCAATCTAGGTAAAATTTATGCCTGAACATGATGCACATATAAATACCGGGTGATCTTTAAAAACCACCCTTATAATATTAGTGTATATGTATATGTATGAATGTTCATTACCTTGAGCAGATTACCTGTTATGCTTTTTATCCATGATCAAACAAAATTTAAATATTAGAATGTATCCATAAGAGACTCTGTGTCATTATGCATGGTTTGTATAAGAGTTCTGATTATGGAATCTGAGGAATTGTTGATAAAGAAAGGAACCTTTCAGAACAACAAATTTCTACTCTGTAGCTGTACAACTGCTTTTCCAAGGCCTGCAGAGCTACTTGCATGGTATTTTTTGCTACAGGATTAGCAGTTTATAAATCTTGGACTAATTATAAATATCTTTCATTTCATAGTAATCCCTATATAATTTTAAACAAACACTTTTGTGATATTTAGTTTCTTAGACAAAACAGAGGTACTTTTTAATATGGAGAAAGGTTTGTTTCATAACAGCAAATACCTCAGGCATGTTTAAAGCTCAAAGTTTATATTCTGATATGTTTTAAGCATAAATGTTTACATATATTTTGAGAAATTTTACACATATCTATTGCTGATAAAATTCATTTTATACAAAATATAACTTTTCCACTACTTAATTTAAATATAGCATACATTTTATGTGTCATTGTTTAAAAAGAAAAATACAGAAAATTTGGAAAACTATGTAAAGATTTTTTTAAAGGAAAAGAAAAAATTAAAAAAAAATTATTTAAAAAAAAGTTAAGTTTTTAGTTTTANTTAAAAAAAAAAAAAAAAAAAACTGATAAACAAAATAAGGAAAGGATATAATTTCGTCATCANCTCAATCTAGGTAAAATTTATGCCTGAATATGATGCACATATAAATACCGGGTGATCTTTAAAAACCACCCTTATAATATTAGTGTATATGTATATGTATGAATGTTCATTACCTTGAGCAGATTACCTGTTATGCTTTTTATCCATGATTAAACAAAATTTAAATATTAGAATGTATCCATAAGAGACCCTGTGTCATTATGCATGGTTTGTATAAGAGTTCTGATTATGGAATCTGAGGAATTGTTGATAAAGAAAGGAACCTTTCAGAACAACAAATTTCTACTCTGTAGCTGTACAATTGCCTTTCCAAGACCTGCAGAGCTACATGCATGGTATTTTTTGCTACAGGCTTAGCAGTTTATAAATCTTGGACTAATTATAAATATCTTTTATTTCATGGTAATCCCTCTACAATTTTGAACAAACACTTAAATGATTTTTAGTTTCTTAGAAAAAACAGAGGTAGTAGAGCTACTTTTTAATGTGGAGAAAGGTTTGTTTCATAACAGCAAATAATGTTTTAAGCTCATAGTTTATATTCTGATTTGTTTTAAGCATAAATGTTTACATATATTTTGAGAGATTTTATACATATCTATTACTGATAAAATTCATTTTATACAAGCAATAATTTTTCCACTACTTAATTTAAATGTAGCATACATTTTATGTATCATTGTTCAAAAACAAAATACAGAAGACTTGGAAAACTGTGTAAAGATTTTTTAAAAGGAAAAGTAAAGAAGTAAAAAAAAAAGAATTTTTTTAATTCGAAAAGAAAAAAAAAGAGAAAACAAAATAAGGAAAGCATATAATCTCATCATTAGCTCACACAATTATATCCGAAAATTAGGCTTTCTAATATTGTATTAATTTCTTTTTGAATTTAAAAAAAAAAAAAATCTTATTTTCCTTTAAAAAATCTTGTTTCTGTATTTTTTTTTTTTTTNTTTTTTTTTTTTTTTTTTTTTTTTACTTTATTTTATGAGTTCTAAATACTTGCAGCTTATGTACAGTCAATAGCACTTATTTTTCCTAATTTTCTTCTTTAATCTCTCTTTTTTTTATCCTTTGTGTCTTTATTATGCTATTATATATATAGATGCTTAAAAAAATAGCTTTGTATACCATTTAAAAAATTTCTTTCACACCACGCCTATCTGTGGTTAAGGTATTTTTTCAATGAATTTTAAATAGTTGGCCTAATTTTCTGAAAACATGAATCACTTAAACATATGAAAGATTTTTTAGGCATCTAACTTATTTTTAAAATTTATTTGGTAAAGTTATTCTAAAGTTAAAGTTCAAAGTTTCTCTCCTGCATGTTCATTACCAAACTTAACAAAGTAGGGTGACTGCCCATTGAAGGCCCTACACAACCATCCCAGTTTTCATGACCTTTAGTTCTGGAGTGCAAGGTAAGGTATTCCAATTGGGTGGAACTATCAGTGTTTAGTCCAAAAGTATGCTTTATACAGTAGGGAACCAATTATCCGGAATGATCGGGACCATCGCTATTCCGGATAACTGATTTTTCCGGTTTTCTGAATCGCTACAAAAAACCGTTTTTTTTTACTGTTAAACCCAACTAAAAAAAAAAAAAATTGGAAATAATCTTAAAAATAAGAAAAAACGATGAAGTAATACACTAATGATTATTTCCAAAATGATGGTAAGGTAAACATCTTTAAAAAAGAAAGAAAAATCGTAAAATCTTACGAGGAAAAAAAATTTTATTTTTAAAAAATGGCAAGAAAATTTATCGAATTTCGTTCCGGTTTTTTGGTTTTCCGGTTTTCTGATTTCCGGATAACGGGTTCTGTACTGTACTAATTTTTTCAACTTACTAAAGGGATGAAAGGCTGATTCAACCTTATTGCTGCAAAGAGGCACTACTGTTTGGCAGGGGTGATTGTGCTCCGGAAAAAATCTGGATTACCAGATTTTTCACTAACCGCGATCTGAAAGTTTCCGGAAATCCAAAGTCCAGAAGTTTTAAGAAATCAGCAATCACATTTATGTATAAAAATTCTTGTATATTTTATTTAAAAATATTAGAACTAGAATTTATACTTGGCATCTCTTTCATTTGTAAATATTTTTTCTGGTAGAATAATAAATGTGATTAGAGATAAAAGTAAACTTACTCATAATTATTCATTTAAATTATGCTGCATGTAATTTATTTAAAATATCATGTTTTGAAAATTTCAATGATTTATATTTATAAAGATATTAATTTTTTGAATGATTTTACTCAAGAAATTTTCAGGATTTTTGAGTTGGGCCCACAATCACCCCTGCACAGGGCACCCATGCTAATTACAACATATTAAGTGTTTTATTCATTGTTATTATTTTCCTGACAAATTTTTCTAAATTTCATTTACTCTTTTTAGTCCTCTCTGCAGCCGCCCTCCTAGTCCCAAATCTGACACAGAGTACGAGAATCAAAAATTAGAAAGCGAGACTCCTATTGATGCTCCTAGTTGGGGTTGGGGTCAGCTGCCTAATGTTCCAAGGAGATTAAGTGACCCCAGTATCCAGTCCAATGTAGATGTTTCTGACGTGAAAGTTGATGAAAATACAACAGGTCATTATTGTTTTTATTTTATTTGATGTTAATTATTTTTTACCTGTAAATCGATATTTTAAAGGCTTTAATGAGTTATTTTAAATCCTTTGTGATAGCGCAGGGTGCGTAGCGTTCTTTAAAGGTGCTTATTTTCGTTTTTTAAAAGCCCTTAAAGGGGCAATTTTCATTGGGAGTTTTTCAAAAGTACTTTATTTTCCCTTTTCCAAAATGATATTTTTCCTTTACCATGGTGATTTTCACCACAAATTATGCAAAAAACACAATTTTCACATTGTTCTATTCAACGTTTTCACAGTTAATTCAACTCCAATCTATTTCTGCATACCGTCTGTCCGTTGTGGATGAAAACATCATTTGTTTTACACGATTCAAAATTTCATGATTTTTTTACAGTTGTCAAAAACTATGAGCTAAAATTTTTTTTTGACGTGACAATTAAACCGTTAGTTGTCAGAAACTTGCCAAACCTGCCTAATTATGATTTTTTAGTGTTTAAAAATATTTTTTGTGTGCTTGAAAAGTGCTTATTTTTTGTTGAAAAATTTGGCTACACACCCTGTAGCATTCAATTTCATAATAAAAGGTAACTCATTTTTAAATATATTCTTGTTTATTTTACTGTGTATAGTAACCCGATTTTGACATCTACAGGGTGCGTAGTGTCTTTAAAAAGTGCTTATTTTTTATTTACTTTTTTTTAAAAGCTATTAAGGGTGCTTTTTTTAGTCGGGGTTTGTAAAAAGTGATTAATTTTCTATGTTTTAAAAATAGACTTTTTTTCTTTTCTGTGTCGATTGTCATTCTAAATTACAAATAATGTATGATTTTTACAATTTTCTCTGCGATATTTATCAGAAACTAGTTATTTTATCATGAGTATATAAAGTTTTTGAAAATATTTTTGAATTTTATTGATTTTATGTTTATAAATTAAGAACTTTAAACGATGGAAAAAAATAATATTTATTCCTGCACAGATCATAATTCTGATTTTTTTTTTTTTTTTTTGGAAAGTGATTAAAAATATATTTTGAGTTTCTTAAAAGGTGCTTATTTATTGTTGAAAAATCTGGCAGCGCACCTTGATCTCAAACTGCCTCTAATTTAATGNATTGTTTGATGATGGTGCTTATTTTTGATTTGCGTTTTTTTAAAGCTATTAAGGGTGCTTTTTTTATTCTTGGTTTGTAAGAAGTAGTTAATTTTCTATGTTTTAAAAAGAGATTTTTTTCTTTTCTGTGTCGTTTGTCATTCTAAATTACAAATAATGTATGATTTTTACAATTTTTTCTGCAATATTTATCAGAAACTAGTTATTTTATCATGATTATGTGAAGTTTTTAAAAATGTTTTTGAATTTTATTGATTTTATTTTTATAAATTAAGAACTTTAAACAATAGAAAAAAATAATTTTTATTCCTGTACAGATCATAATTATGATTTTTTTTTTTTTTTGAAAGTGATTAAAAATATTTTTTGAGTGCTTAAAAAGTATTTAAAAGGTGTTTATTTTTTGTTGAAAAATCTGGCAACGCACCCTGATCTTGAACTGCCTCTAATTTAATGCAGCATGCAATTTAATCAAATTATTATTATTATTAGTTTTTTTTTTTTAAGAAAAAAAATCAAGATTAAAATTTACAAAGCATTGTAATATGAGAATTATTTTTAGGATTTATTTTAACCTGTCTTTCAGTTTTCAGTTACTAAATATGATAGATTTCTATTCTACTTTCATTAATATTGAGTCTTGTATTTATTGTGTGCTTATGAAACAATTTTTAATTGTATTGTTATGATTTAATTTAATAATACTATTTCATTTACAATAGATCCTCAGTTTTTTGTTTTCCGTTACATCTATTGTCCCGTTTTCTGTGTCATTTTCTGCCTATATTTCGATTAATTGTCTATATCGACTGTGTTAAAATATCTAAGATTTTAAGTTACACTTTTAAGAAAATATCGCTTTATACGTCCTTCTAATGGATCAAAATCATTTTTTCTCTACTAAGTCCACACAAACTTTCTACAAGCTCTTTCTTCCTCTTTTTCTGAAAAGAAAGATTTATTTCTCAGTTCTTTAAAGCTGTACCGCCATCTTATTGTTCTTTTGTCTGTGAGTAGGGGGGGGGCGTGTCAAGTCAAAATCAGAAATTGGATGGGATGGATAAAACGCAGGACCTTCAGTAAAGGAAGTATGGAAGCTTAAATTATAAAATTTGTGAGTGGAATTTTTTTTCCTGCAAACTTCCAACTTTGAATCTTGAAGTTATCTGATCTTTTTAAAAACGTTACATTAAGCAATTGGTTAGGAAATAATTTCCTTTTCTTGATTCTGGTGACCTGAAATGTGCATCAAAAACAAAAGTAAATGTTCTGAAGTTCCGAATTTGATTTCATCAGCATTGAACTGTTTTAACTAAACTTCATTACAAATCGTACTTCTCATGCAATGAAGCATACTTCTTAGTATCCAATTGGAACGGTGGGTGTTTGAAATAAAATTGCGTAGCTTAAAATCTTCTGGAAGTTCATGCATATATTGACTGTGCTGCGTCCTAATACGTTTCCATTCCTTCAATATCTGATTTAATGCCTGCTTCTAGTGATAGTGAAGAAGACAATGAAGATGAGTAAGAAATATCGGAGGGTATACCCTTGACTGATCGACAGTTACAAAGCATATAAAATCTGAAACAATATTATTTATTAATTTAAACCAAAAAGCAGTTTTGCTAATTATTAGTATAGAGCAGAATATGGTTGAAATAAAGGAGAAGAAAAAAACCTGTAATCTAAAAACAAAAAACAAGTAAAGATTAACAAAACAAGTAAAGTGAACAAAAAAAAACTTTTCTGTTACATATTTCTTGTTGGCCCTCAGTTTCTTAAAATATTTTTACTAAATAATTTTTTCTAATTTTTAAACATTTTAAAATATTTTTATGAATTCTAATTCCATCAATTTTTCTTGATTAATTTTATGAACTAGTGATAGTGATTGTAATAATGATTGAATTGAATGCAGCATTGAAAAATAAATGATAATAAATTTATAATAATAATTAAATAATATTTATAATAATTTTTTGTTATACAGTATACTCTCGGTATCTCAAAATTGAATGGACGCTAAAAACAAATTTCCGAACTAAATAGGATCAAAAAAGTAGAAAAATATATTCTAAAATATTACTCTAAAAAGTAGAGTCACGAAACATAAGAATAACTACTATTAAATATGTATGTGATAATAGTTGACTATAAGTCTAAATACAGCAATGATAATTTTATTTTAAAATTAAGACATAAATAATTATGCATTAAATCGAAAAGAATTGGTTTACATTGAGATATTTCCGAAAAAATTAATTTATTATTTCAAAAAAATTTTATATTACAAGATTTTGAATAGAAACTCTTCGACATAGGAGTTCAAATTAACATTAGGAAAATAAATAATGCCTAAGGGAAAAATAATTTTTTTACATAACAAGGTTTTCATGATATCGAGATTGTACTGTAATAATAATTTCATGAGATCGTACTGTAATTCATGAATTTTGTTTAAAGTAAATAAATTATTGTAAGTTTATTAATTTATTATTATTTATTTATTTATTTATTTTTTTGAAAAATTAAATTGAGAAATGTTTTCTTATAAGTATACATGTTTTGCAGACGTGGATAAACGCTCAATGCTTGGAGGCATGCTCAATTTTATGCGTTCAACAAAGAAGATCAGGCATATGCCAGAAGCAGAAGGTATTTATCTTTCAGAACTCAACGCTGAAGAACTGGATCCTGAAGTAGCAGCATTATACTTTCCTAAATTTAAGTGAGTTTTTTTTATTTTTTTTTATTGATATATCTTGTGGATTTGTTATTGGTATAAACCTCAGTATCAGAATTTACAGAGTCAATCTGCAGCACAATCTTCAGAAATTGAAGTTTGTTTGTGACTCTTAACTCAGCCAGAGAAGATTATTGAAAAGTAATAGGCTTAATCTAACATGTGTACAGCAAAATTTGAAAATGTAAGGTAGATAAAATTTTAAATGAAAAAATGGTGTTAAAATAATAGAAAAATCTCTACACTATTTATAATCAAGCAATTAAGATGACCTGATCTCAAGTTAGCAGTAACAGTTAGAAAAAAAATTTGTTGGATTACCTGATAAGTATTTTTGTATAATAGTTTTTATCCTGTTTTGGGTTGAAAATCCTTTTCATTCTACGGCAGTTGACAAGGGTATTGCCATTTATTATTTATCCTCAACTTGTACTAAATTGAAACTTCTTATATCTAGAATATCCTTAGATATGTAGTGGTGCTCTACATCAAATAATTCTTGCTTCAATTCCTATACTAGAACACTCTAAGTTGATCTGTTGTTGTTATTGAACAGTGAAAATTTGATTTTAGTGATATGCCACGAGAAAGCAGCATTTAATAAAATTATAAATTGGATCATTATTTTTGTTTGACAAATTTAAATCATAATTCATGCTATTTCTGCTCTGAGTTACTTCTTTAAAATCCTAAGATTTTAAATTTCTTAATACCTTTTTTTCTAAAGATATAATTGCATGTTTTTTGTAACATTTTCTGTACAAAGAATCAGAATTGATCTTGACTTGGTATTAAAGGACATACTATATAATCAATGTATTTATGCTGATATGACCTTGATACTGTAGGTCAAATTATGGTCAACAAGTTACAGATGAAGACGCAGAATCTGGAAAAGGATCCTCTTTACCTCATTCTCCTCACACTGTTGAAGGTTATCCCAGTCAAGATTCTGATAGTGATGACAGATTATCTTTAGATCAATTTAGGTAACACTTTCCCTCTCTCAAGTATTTGAAAATTTTTTTAGTGTGTTTAAAAAAAAAAAATTTCTCACACAAGCAACCAGTATATGCATATATATATAATGTCTTAATGCAACACATTATAAAGAGTAATTTTTATCTTAGGATAATTATTCTTAATTTTGAAATATCGCATTAACCATTGTAAAGGAATGCGTCCTGAAGAGAACCTTTATGTTTTCCCATAATAAAAAAATTAACAAACTTTCTGTTTTATTTTATAATTCTTCATTGTGTATCTATATACACTGGTGTGTAACGTTTTTAAAAAGTGCTTGATGGTTCTTATTTTCAATTTTTGTTTTTTGAAAGCCCTTAAAGGTGCTTTTTTTATTGGGTGTTTTTAAAAAGTGCTTAATTTTCCCTTTTCGGAAGTTAGATTTTTTTCTTTACCATGAAGATTTTCGCCACGTATTATGCAAAGGCGTGCTTTTCACATTGTTCTATTCATCGTTTTCGCAATTCATTCAAACACGATGCATTTCGGCTTACTGTCGGTCCGTGGCGTATGAAATCGCCAATCATTTTACGTGTACGTATAGTGAGCTAGGTTCAGTGAGATTCTTGCACTCATTAATAAAACCTGGAAAATACAGGGAATTAAAAAATCATCTCAGATAACAGGGAAAATGCAGGAAGTAATGGATTTTTCCTTATGAACTGGGAAAATACAGGGAATATTTGTTTCTTATTTTCTTTTACAAAATGTTGACCTCTTAAAGTGTAATTTATGGGATATTAAAAGATGGTTTAGCTATACTATACCAATATATTTGCTGCATTATTATTTTTATGTTGAACTGTTCCTTATTTGTCTAAGTTTTTCCAGCAATTAAAACTAGTATAGTATTAGTTATCCTAATGTAGCTTTCACATTTGCATAGTGATTGTGTGTTTCCTCTTAATATATTATGTATAATGTATACAGCAGGAAGCGTAGTGTTTTTGAAAAGTGCTTAAAGGTGCTTATTTTCGATTTTTGCTTCTTAAAGACCTTAAAGTTGTCTTTTTCATTGAGTGTTTTTAAAAAGTGCTTAATTTTCCCTTTTTGAAAGTGATACTTTTTTCTTCACAATGTCAATTTTTTCCACGATTTATACAAAACTGTGCTTTTCACATTGTTCTATTCAACGTTTTCGCAATTCATTCAGCCACAATCCATTTAGGCGTACTAACAGACCATGGCATATGAAACCGCCAATCATTTTACATGTTTGATTAAATACTTGCGGGTCCGCATGTGTGTGTATTGAGCTGGATTTGGTGAGATTCTTGCACTCTCGTGTGCAATTCTGCTGCGTTTTCCACGATGTTTTCAAATTCAGACTTCATTTTCCACCCTCTGATATCGAACTGGAAAATCTCTCGATCATTTTATAATGACTAATATAATCAAGAAAAGAGTTCTTTGTCAGAAACTAGTTATTTTGTCATGATCATGTAAAGTCTTTGAAAATTATTTTGTTAATGTATAGAGTGCTTAAAAATATTTTTTGAGTGCTTAAAAAGTACTGAAAAGGTGCTCTTTTTCTTGTTGAGAGATTTAGCTATGCTCCCTGTAATGTATACAGGGAAGAAAACACAGAGAACTTTTTTTCTCTGTGTTTTCACTGTGTGGCAACCCTGCTAAATTTCAGTTACAAAATTACCCTTACTTAGAGATTAACAAATAAGCCTTACCTATTTAGTTTCCTCCTTCTATCCCACCTTCCTACCCTTTTAATGAATTAATTAGTCCCTTTTCTCCCTCCCCAGCAAAGAGAAGTGTGAAAACATTTCTTATCCTTATAGTGATATTGCTATGTCACTCTGCGGGGGACTTCAAGATCCGGAAGTGGACATTCCCGAAGAACGCTTCCTCCAATCCAAAGTGACCTTCGATGATTTCACAGAAAACCCAGCTGTTCTACAGGATCCTAATTTAGTTATAAGAATAGGGGGAAAGTAAGTTAATCATAAATAACGTTTTGTTAAGTGAAGATTCGGACATTAGTTTAATGCTTTATTTTTTCTTCTTCAGATTTTATAATTGGTCTACTGCGGCATCAATGTTAACTTCAATTATTATGTATCAAAGACCATTACCAGAAGTAAGTCATTTGTAAGCATTAAAAGTTTTATTTAATGAAACAGCCTAAACTTCTGCTGCGCCTTAGGTCAGAATAATTATCATTAGACATCACACTCAGGGCTCATAGACCTCCACAGAAACCTGAAAATATTTTTTAAAAAAATGAAATAGTGTAGAAAAATCACTGAAAAGAAAATTTTTACCAAGATCAAAAAATTTAGATTTTTTTTCCCCTGAGAAAAATTATTCAAAATATGGTTTTGTAGTGATTAATTGTGTTACTACAAATTATTGCAATTTTATTCCTAAATTTGAGTACCAATTTGTTTTTATTTAAATGCATGTGTTTTGTTTGAAAAAGAAAGAACAAAATGACTTTGAAGTAACATTGAAATTTAAATCTTAAGTTGTTAAAGTTGTTAATTCTATTTATTTGGAATTTTTGATGTTCTTCAATGGGTATAATTATATCAAAAATCTATTTTTAACAAAAATTGAACATTTATTCAGGCTTATATTCTTCAAAAAAAGAAAATCAATAAAGTCACCGCAGTTTAGAACTTAAACGTCACATTTTATTTAACTTGTTTATCTTAAAACAATTTGTGAACTCAACAGTCTATAAGTAGACGCATCACCAATACCTATTGACAAAAAAATTAATAATAATAATTCGATATTGGCAAAGTAGTTGGTAATTATTTGTTAACTTTTTTTTTTAAGTGGTGCCACTTTTAGACAAAAAATTATGTCATTTTTTTTTTTCAAATAAAGTATAACTTATATTGAATAAATGTATTTTTATTAAAGAAAATTCTGTAGTTGAAGAATATTAAATTTTTTTCATCCTAAAAATTAGCAATTTTATTCAAAATAAGATGTTTCTAAAAAAGCTTTTAACCTTCATTAAAAACTTAACTTTAAGAACAATTTTCAGTATTCTATTCTATTGTAGTTATCTAAATTAAATAATTTCTTCATAATTCAGATCAGCCTATATTTTATGTGACATGCATTTAAAAACCAATCATCAAAGTAAATATCCAGTTTTATAATTGTTTAACTTCTTAGCCTTTGAAATATTAAGTTACAGTTAAGAAATTTCTCTTAACTACCTTAAAACTATTAAATTTTTACATTATTTGCTAAGAGATAGCAATTTAAAATGCTAAGCAAACCAAAATTGGTGAATTTTTTTGTCATTAATTCCAATGCACAAAGAAAAAAAAATTTTGAATAATATATACTTAATTGCACATTTGTGTCTTTAAATTTTTGTATCTAAAAATTAATTTAAAGCATTATAAAACTGATCTGTGTTCCAAACTAATATAGCCATTGCTTAATAAGTTTCAGGATGTATGAAATGGTTTATATAATGTGAAATTTTATATAACACAAAGCTTTAGGCTGCGTACAAGCAGCTTTTTTGTTCCTCAAAGGAATTTAACCCCACCACAAAATTTGTAAGCTTAAAATCCTTTTTTGTTGCCCCGTTTTACATGGTGGACGTTAAAGGATGTGGGCTTGGACAGCGAGAGGACCACCTGTAGGGTCAGCAAAGGGAGAGATAAGGATTGATAGATTTATGAGGAATTAGAATGCAGAAAGCCTGATCTTAACAATTTGTTCTTGTGGAATATAACATTTCTTTCAATTTATTTGTGGGATATCCATTTCATCGAGGAACAAAAAAGCTGTTTACGCATAAGTCTTATGCTTTAAGATTTGTGTAATAGAGATTTTCTAACTGTATTAGATAGAGTAGGGTAACAACAAGTACTATTTCTAAACCTTAAAATATGGTATTTTTTTCTTGAAAAAAAAAGGAATGTTTTTACATGGCATAGTATTTTTTTTAAATAAATTTAACCTTTATTTTTCTTTCTAACAAACTATATTTCAGTGCCCTATTACATACAAAATCATTTCCTTTGTGATTGAAAATTAGAGAAACTTGATGTACATGTCACAAAACAAGTTTATTCATGTAAAGCAAATTTGTTTTTTAAAATTCATGTTTTTATTGTTTTCAGTCAGCTGCCAATAAAGTCATCAATCAGTATATGCCAAAGAAAAAGAAAAAGTCATACTCATCATGGTGGTCTTGGCGAAGGACAGAAGAATCAAATCTTGATATTGCTGTTAGTACCTCTTGCTTTTAATTTTATTTATTATCACCAAATCAATTGAAGTATTAAAAGAAAAAACAATTTTATTTGTCTGAAAATGTCAAACACAAGAATTAAAATGAATGCTTTTTATATGTATTGAATATATATTATAAAGTATAAAAAATAGAAAAATTTTAGGATTTTTGTATTGACAACTGTGACAATAAATATCTGATTGATAATTACAGATGGACGCTTTTGTAACTGATCTCAGACTTCAAAAAAAATTTTGAACAGACATCTTCATCTTTTAAAAAGCATTGAGGACGGAATAGATTAAGCTTAACTCATTTTGGATTCGCACAAAATCAAATATTTTGTTTTAAGTCAGTTACCCACAAAAGCAAAAGATTGTATACAAAAACGAAACAGAAAAAATTTTAAACCACTAAATTCTCAAAAGAAGCTTTTAAAGCCGAACATTTCAATTTTCTAATTAAATTGTATTTTCAAGAAAAAGTGGAGAAGAAAAAATTAGGTCTAATAGAAACACTTTTAATTGCTGCATTGTCATAAAAACTATAATTTTGCAAAAAAATTTAACACTAAGATTCACTAACTTTTTCATATTGCTGTATTCCTTGAAAATTGTGATGATGAAATAATAAAATTCATTAGAAAAGCTGTGTCAAAAGCTTGACGCAGCTTTTTAAATCTTGAAATTTTGTTTTCATAATTTTGCGAGAACATGAAATTTAAAAATTAACATTTGTAAAATCTGTATCTGATAATGAATAGTAAAAATACTATTTTAGATTATTCATTATTTAATTTATTAAAATTCAAAAAAAAATTATTTTTGAAAAATGCTTTTCCAAAAAATATTTAGCCGATTACCAATTGGTGGTTGAATATTCATAACATCTGTAATATTAACTGTGTATTTGTTTTTAAATTTCACTCAGTTAGAGCTTCTGCATCTAAAACAACTATGAATTTTTTTTTATCAAAATATTAAAGTTATTGGCAGAATTTTCTAATGGCGAAAAAATCGGTTTGCATTGATTTGATGTTTTAGTTTCGGGTATAAGTTAGTAAACACACATATATTTTTAAAAAACTAACTTCAATTAAATTTTTTTTAAAAAGTTCAAAACAGCTTCAGTGACATAAAATTTTTTAGAATAATAAAAAAATTAGGCGATCACATTTTATACATTGTTGTTGTCTAATTTTTTTTTTTGGAAAAGTAACTTTATTGTGTTTTCATCTTGGACATCTTTAAATGTTAATCCTGAACTGCCCGGTACACAATTTTGCAGACATATTTGAATGCAGCTCAGGCACATTTTGTGTAAATTCTTTTGATGACTGAATAGACGTTGAACTGCCAATCGAGATCAATATTAACATTTTCGAATTGGTACAATGGTATCGTATTGAAAGAAATTGTAAACTGTGTCATACACCCGTTTCGGATTCATAAGTTCATACATGAAATATGATTTGAAAGATGGGCTTTTTTTTCTTCAGTTTTACATGAATAGTGATTGAATCATTTATATTACGTGGAAAACAGTCTACGGTCTTGTGCAAGTCATTAGATACGTTGACAATGTGTTATGCATGTAAAATTAAGCACAATATAAGTGTTTGTGGGACATTGTTAGGATTTTAAGTAATTTGAAAACCAGAAATGTTTAAATTACACCTTAGCCTCAAAGTAACTTTATGAAAGGCTCCCTTAAAATGTTCAGTTAGTAATTTTGAATATGTTTGATTTCCAACAATTGGATTTTGGAGGTTAATTAATTTTCTGCTTCTAGAATAATTCAGCTGCAATGCCTTTGGACGCAAATGAGAACAGCCCAATGGGACCTTTTGAACAAACTCTGTGTGATATTGAATCCAGTGAAAGTGCCAGTGTAGCCATTGACATGACTGTGAAAGAGACATTAGCATCTGTCACTGAAATAGTATCTGAGGAAGTTAAAATTGCCGAAAATATACTGCAGGAGGTCGTGATCGAGAGTCATGAGGTTGTTGTTAAGACTAATGAAGAAAAGATTTCCGAAAGTGAAGAAAGTTCTTTGCGTAGTAGTCCAGAAATTTCACCTGAAACAGTAGAGTAAGTTTATTTTAAAGGCTTAAAAAACATTTTTTTCCTAATATTTCATTATTAATATCTGCCCAATTACTTGTAATATAATAATTTATGCCTTGAAAATTGAAAAAAACTTCTTTAAGAGGAAGAAATCTTTCTACAAAATCATTAAATATTACTTTAATTGCCCTTAAAATTTGTCAGATTATCAACTAGTTCATAATATTTAAGACTAGGGGGCCAAGCCCCCTGTTCATTGCCGCTCACCAGCCATGATGATTGCTTCGCATTAAATTGTTGAGAAAACAGTTTTTCTACTAAAGTTAAAATTATTCACTTAACATATAATGTACTAAAAGGAATTCTGTTCGCTTACGCTTGTGTCTCCACTTCCCACATGCAAATATTATTATCTATTAGTATTATAAATATTTAGATCAAGTACAGAACAGAAGTAAAAGTAATAATTTTTTAAAATAGCATTTATATTGTTATAACATTATATTGTTCAAACAAATTTAGGGAGTTCTCAACCATAATTTAATATTTTCGCTTACGAAACGGGCAGATATGTTAAATACTATTTTTGTTTGCATCATCTCAGTGTGCATGAAGCTAATCATTAAGTTCTAAATCATTTGACATCTCTTTAACTGCAATTGATAACAGTATATTAATGTTATTTGCATAAAAATAATAATTGTAAAACTGATAATAAGATTAGTCCACCTTTATAAATAACTTTATCTTAAAATGTAATGCAGAATTACATTATATTAATAATAAAAACAACAGTACTTAGTTTTTTAACTCTTAAATTAAAGCGTAATAATAGCAGTGCAGGAAAATAACTTTAAAATAGGGAGACAATAATATTTATAGAAAAACAATACCTTTGTGACTTTTATTAATTTTATGCTGATGACTACCAAAACAATATGGAAATGAATGAGGAAAAACTGGATCCCACCACGTGATTCTCCATCCAGTCAAATGTGCAGACAACAATGGAAAATTGCGACACCATCATTAGATTTTTATATATAGTTAGAAATAAGCAAATCTTATATGTAACCATTTACAAACTTTTTAAACCATTTTTTATTTACACATCATTTACGATATGCTGAAAAATAATTCATAGATTAAAGTTTTTAATTCTAAAAGTGTGAAGTCAAGATGAATATTGTAAAGTAATATTTAAACTTGAATTAATTGGAAATATATATGTGTATTAATTGTAAATTTCACGAGTCATGTTAAATAAGTATTGTCATAAAAAGTTGTAAACAATATCTTGGTTTTTTATTATTACGAAAAATAATTCATTCAGTATTAATATATATCAATTTCTTTATTTAAACTTTTAAACAATTTTTCTAACAGAGAATTATGATATGCGAAAATTGTTCATAAAAATAAAATATTGCTAAACATTTTCAGAGATATAAGTATTAAGCTAAGAATCCTGGATTTAGACCAAGATTATTTTCTGATCCAAATCACATTCTTTAAACTTATTTTTTTATTATTTATGTGTTTATCCTTTTTTTTCTTCAATTTTATGACTGAAAATCAATGTTTAAAAATAAATAAAAAAATTGCTAACAAAAAATTTATAAATTCTGGATTTAAATTGCTGATTTCATCATTTGAAATTGATCATTTGATATAAATTTACTGTTTTTCTTAAAATTTTCTAGTAGAACATACTTAAAAACCTTAATAATCATCAGAATTCATTGAAAATTTATTTAACAATTTGACTGTAATTTGCATGTATCCTTATGATAGCATTGTTGGAAATATCATAATCTGTGTTCTTCATGAAATAGCCTTGTGCTCAGTGAAAGGATTGTCAATTTCATAACCAAAATTATGGGTTTGCTTCAATTTTTTTAAAGAATATAACCTTTTTTTTTTTATATTTGTCAAATACCTGAGACAATTTGATAAAAATGAAATATATATTTCAGTTATCATTGCAAAGATACATTATGATTTTTGAACCTTAACAAATAATAATGTTTTATTTCCAGTGTACAAATTGATCCTCCTCTTGACCTGCCTGAAACAGTTGCTCAAACTCTAACTGGTGCCAAAAATATAGAAGATGTTAAGCCTTTTCCTGAGAAATACAAAAAGTCTCTGAGACTCACCTCTGAACAAATCGTAAGTTTATGACATCATAAGTTAGTATATGCAATCCTTTCATGAAGTTTCAGACCTTTCACAAATTTTTAACCACTAAAAGCAATGCTTTTCACAAAATGTAGTTTTTTAATTAAAATTGCTTTAATACTTTAAAAATTAATTATTTTGTGTATACTTTAAACGTCGTCATTTTATCGACTAGCAAGTAGCACATTGCTAGTTGAAAAAATCAGATGCTTGTTAAAAAATGCAGTAGCAAAAATTGCTAATAACTTCTTATGATAAAGATTTTTTATCTTTTTTTCGATCCTTTTCTAAGTGGTTTTTCAAATTATGATATTTTTAACACAATGGTATTAGGACGAACGTATTTTAAATTAGAGTTGTCACTACTTGACGTCCTCGATTAAAATTTAAACCTGTTTGATTCTCCAATCATTTTATCAGGTTTTTAATCCGTGTCCTCATGTTTTTTTATACTCTGGTTTTCAATTACGATGTTATTACAATATGGAATTTTCGATTGAGATTAGTAATTAAAACTTTAAATTATAATAATTCTTGAAAATTGAACAGTGCTTTCAAAACTGTGTCGCACTATGCTAAAACAATATCCTTTTTTTCTTCTTTTTTTTTTGTTTATAATAATTACAGCCAAAATTGCATCAAATAAAAAATAAAATTGAATTTCTGAAACGAAAATATATAAATCTTGTATTTTGTCGAAATCATCAAATGAAGTGCATAATATTGAGAGAATGAAACTTATATAGACATCTTGTAGCATGGAAACAATATAAAACAGTGTTGTGTGAACTTTCATACAAATATAAACATTTAATATTAACCATTCATTTATTGCAAAATGCTCTACCTTAATGATTATGTTGTGTTTTCTGCATCACAAAATTATTGTGATAACTAAGGCCCGGATTTTGATGACATTTGCATTTTTTTGCATTTTAGAACGTTTTTTGTCCTTTAGAGCATTTTTTGAGATTAGTCTTCCCGTNTTTTAAACATGCTAGTCTGAATTCCTGGTTTTACTACTAATATTTTTTGGAAATATTTAAATTTGCTACTGATTTTTAAAAAAAAATGAAATCATGATCCTAGTGAGTTTAATGTGTTAACTGATAAATGGTATGATAATATTCCCAGTTTCACCTTTTTACTTGATGCCTTCCCCTTGATGATCTCATTTCTCGAGATTTATTTCTTCAATCTTATTGCATTATGCCTCTCTTTTGTCTATATGTAACTTTGTGTTGTATTCAGTTGTAAAAAACAACCTTCTGAAAGGGAAAATTAGCTATTTACTGCAGGTGAATGAACTACAAACTTTCTAAACTAGTTGTTTTATACATCACTACATGCGAATGATTCAAAAGTTCATATAAAAAGTACTGGCAGAGGCCAGTACTTTTGTGGTGGGGCTTTTAAAATGTCAGGAAAATCAGCATAATTTTGAAAGCTTTAGTTTTCGATTGCTTACCAGTCTGTAAAATATTTTTCAAAAAGTGCAGTAGTTGGCAGCCCTGCGTGTGTGCCACTGGCTCATGCCAGCCATGATGCCTGTCTGATAATACGTTAACTGAATGAATACAAAGCCACTACATCTAAAGTTTCTTTTTCATTAAGACATGCCATTGTTGTGTCCAAACTTTACCAAACACTTTAAAGAAAATATTTTTTTACTGAAATAACAGTAATGATAACTACAAATTATAAAAGGAGAGAGGAATTATAACTTTGTTTTTCAAAGGAAATGATCCTTATTAGACAAACATGTAAATCACCACATAAAAATGTACACTGACTAGTATCCTTTAGTTTCTGGTCTTTTAGACTAAAAGTGACTAAATTTTCTTTAATTGTCGTCCAAAATTTAAAGGGTACTTAATTTAATAAATTTTCCTTTCCAGAAAAATTTGAATTTGCAAAATGGTCCTAACGAGTTTACATTCAGTGTTACGACAGCTTACCAAGGAACAACAAAATGCACCTGTCATGTTTTCCTATGGAATTATGATGACAAAATAGTAATATCAGATATTGATGGGACAATAACGAAGTAAGTTTTTAGCTTTGTCTGCGCTTGAAGTGAGCCCATTTCTTGTTTATCATTTTTTGTTTCTTTATTATTTCTTGTTTATTAAGTTAATTTTTATTATTTTTTTAAAGAAACTTTGTTAACATTGAAGTTTGTAGTACTACTGGATAGGTCTAATTGAAACATAAGATATATGTTGCATGGGTTGCTGAAAACTGTTAGCTAAGTAATTTTTAAGTCATGTTTACTACAAATTATACAGGATATATAAATAAAACATGACGTTTTTAAAAAGTGTTTATAGGAGCTTTTTTCATTGGGTGTTTTTTGCAAAGTACTTAATTTTCCCTTTACAAAAATAAAACTGTTTCTTTACCATGTCAATTTTCACCACGTATTATGCAAAAGCGCGGTTTTCACATTGTTCTGTTCAACATTTTCACAATTCATTCCAACGCAATGCATTTCGGTGTACCATAGCATACGAAAGCACCGACCATTTTACATTTTAATGAAATACTTGCGGGTTGGTATGTGCATGTACTGAGCTGTATTTTGTGGGAAGATATCTTGCGTTCTCACGAACAACTCTGCAGCATTATGCAAGATATTCTCAATTTCAGGATTCATTTTCCACCTTCTGAAACCAAACCGTAAAATCTTGCTGTCTTTTTATGGTTGCTAATATAATAAAGTAAAGAGTTCTTTGTCAGAAACTAGTTATTTGAGTCGAATCATGTTAGATTAGACCAGTGGCGTACGCAGAATTTTTTCAAGGGGGGTGTTCATAATTTTCTGAAGCTACTAAAAGAAATTCGAGTATGTAATAAAGCACTATTATTTCCCTAATTTAGACACCTAGACAGTTTTGTCTTTTCATTGTTTAGTTAAATTTTAATTTGATTTTTTAAGTTTAAGAACATAATGTAATATCTTCTCGCATGTAATATCTTCTGAAAAAAGTCCAATGTCATATGGGTGGGAAGTAACACTTTGAGGGCCACTTTCACATTCATCAGATTTTGTTATGCTAGAAACGTTTTCTTCAACGGAAGTATCACATTTCTGTACAACAGAAAAACTTACATTGTACTCCGTTCCCCCTTTTATATAATTTTTCACCGCATCTCCAAAATTCTCGAATTGTCTCAAAGACGACAGAACGTCTAAGATTCCAGAATCATCGCGTAAAGACCTCGCGAATGACAGCCAGTCTCGAAAACTATCGCGACTGGCAGAACAGAAAGGAACCAGTCCATAACAGTATCACGTGAATTTGGTTTCAAAAGTACAACCCTATTATAGTAAATGTTTTTTTCAGTATTCTGAGAAATACCGTGAGATAAAAAGGTAGGCATAAGGCAAATAAAAATATATAGTCTTAAAACATAATACTCGCATAATTTCTAATAAAAAATTTTCTTTTTGCCATTTTGTCTGAGCTCAAGGGGGGTGTTCAAACCCCTAAACCCCTCCCTTGCGTACGCCACTGGATTAGACTAGTTAGATCATGTGAAATCTTTGAAAATTATTTTGCACTTTTTTAATGTATGTAGTGCTTATAAATAAAAGGTGCTTTTTTTATTGTTGAAAGATTTGGCTACGCACCCTGTTAAAGTTTTAACCAAAGAAAATTATCCTTATTGTCTCATACCTCATCATTATGCAATCAGTGTTTCTGCCAGAAAATATATCAATATATATATTAATATTATTTTTAAATTTTACTAATGTGTGGTGAAGCTCTACTAAAACGATATACAATGACATAAAAGACTATATGATGATCTGCATTGACCCTAGCTTTGAACCCTTTTGTGTTCTGCTTATGGGGTTGTCTCAAAAATTAGGTTTATTCCCACTGGCGGTTTAGAAAATGGGCAAAATTGGGAGAATGTTTCTTCCATATCTATTAACTTAAAAAAGAAATAAATAACTAAACACTTTTGCAAAGACTGCAAGTTAAAATACAGCTTCGACTTTTTAAGTGCAGAACCGTCAGTGGATTAAGAATATATAACTTATGAAGGAAGATTGTAACCTAGTATCAACAGCCATGCCCCCTGCATTCCTACTGATGTATGTGACAGTGTGTGACATGTTGGTATAATTTCAGTATATTGTTGACCAACAGAATATGCACAAAAGATAAGCAGATGCATAAATAAATGAAATATGATATTCTTGAGTGTTTGAACGATTATCTTCCTTTCTATTTTGTTACGTATTGAACAAATTTCAGAAGAAAAAAAATATTAAAGCTTTTGTTGCATGAACTACATAACAAATCTTTAAAATTTCATTGCGACCATTTCAGTCGAGCAAGAGCTGTGAATCTTAACAGTACTTCCACTTTAAATTGCAACCATCTTGTACTTTGATAACCTAAAATAGGTATTCATCTCTCTAAAGTACTTCCTTTTTATTTTTTGGTACACAATTTTTTCCTAACAGATTTTCGGGCTCTTAATAGAAGGTCTTTTTTAAATTAATAACAAAAAAAAATTCTGTAAAAGAATTGTTTTCTGTGTTTGCATAAATGCTTATGACACTGAAATTAAAAGTTCTCAAATTCTCTTTCTTTGTCTGTAGATATCGTTTTTAAAGAGTGCTTATATATGTTTTTTTTTATTTCAATTTTTTAAATACCTTTTAAAGGTGCTTTTTTATGAGTTTTTTTTTTTAAAAAAGGGCTTTATTTTCCTTTATCGAAAATGAGATTATTTTTCTTTATCGTGTCTGTTTTCTCCACATATTTTGCAAAAGCATTATTTTCAAATTATTCTATTCAACACCTTCACAATTCATTACACAATCTATTTCGGCCTACTGTCGGTCCGTAGCGTATGAAAAGGTTTTACATGTTTGATTAAATACTTACGAGTCCGTATGTGCGTCTTCTGAGCTTGGTTCGGTGAGATTCTTGCTCTCTTATGTGCAACTCTACTGCATTTTGCAAGATATTCTCAATTTCTGGTTTCATTTTCTGCCCTCTGATATTGAACCAAAAAATATTTTCATCATTTTATAATGGCTAATATAATCAAGAAAAAGAATTCTTTGTCAGAGACTTGTTATTTTATCATGTTCATGTAAAGTCTTTGAAAATTATTTTGCATTTTGTTAATGTATATATTGCTTAAAACTATTTTTGAGTGCTTCAGAAGTACTTAAAAGATGCTTATTTTTTGTTGAAAGATTTGACTGCACACCCTGTAAAAGAATTGTATTCTGTTATTGCATAAATGCTTATGCCACTGAAATTATAAGTTCTTAAACTCTCTTTCTTTGACTATAGACATGAAATGACTTATAAAAATTATCCTGAAATTTCCCATAACTATTATTTATAATATAAAGTAAAGTAATTCTTACTTTTTTTTTGTAATTTGTTTGGAAAATAAATTTAGTAAGTGTTTTGCACACAAGTATAGAAGATTGAAAATACGTATATTTGTTACAGCTTAAATGTGTGGCTGTAGAAAAAAGACTCAAAAATGTATGACACATAAAATATTATTGCTGTATATTCATGCTTTTAACGTAAGAAATAATAGTAATTTTAAGTTGGGCGACTACTATTTCCGTAATTTTAATAAAATCTTTTTTATTTCCTTCTAAATTGCTAATAAAATTCTTGAAAAATTAAGCATGCAGTTTTTATGTAATTATTCTGCCCTTACTAAGTGTCAATTTATCTCTAGATCTGATGTTTTGGGACATATTCTGCCCATAGTTGGTCACAGCTGGGCTCAACTTGGAGTTGCGAAGTTATTTTCTAAAATTCATAGCAATGGATACAAGTTCCTGTATTTGTCAGCGAGGGCCATCGGACAGGCCAGAATAACGAGGGATTATCTGCGGAGAGTGAGACAGGGCGAGATCTGTTTGCCGGATGGTCCTCTTTTACTTTCTCCAACTTCACTCATTAGTGCACTTCATAGGTAAACTGCTTCTTTTATTAGTACCTGCAATTATTTTCATTCTCTAAAGTTCCAGAAGTGTTTGTTCCAATTATTTTTAATCTGGATTTAAAAAAGCACTTGTAACTGCAACTGGGAATAATAATTTTTTTTTTCTTTTTAATTTTTTTTTAAGAAAAAAGTATGGAAAAAGGCGATTATATATTAACTTGGTGCTAACTTGACTTTTAAAAGTGGATAAATACTCAATTCATTAGAAACTGCTCATCTTTTTACAACTGTCTTAAAGTAAAAACAATTATTATTCTGTTCATTATCAGCATATTCTCTTTGAGTTTCTTCAGTGGTGAAGTATATTTTTTATATAAATATTGTTAGCTGAAGAACCTATGTTCTATTTAAAAAACCGATGCCACTTTTTAAAAAACTTATAACTGATTTCTTTCATTGTTAGCACTTGTCTTCTGGAAAACAAAACAATCATCAAAAAAAGTGTATTAATAATATGGAAATCTATATTTAGTTCTAAATTTTTAAGCAATTTTGGAAGTCAGTTTGTCAATTAAAAGTTTAAAAGAAAATAGCATGTTATAATTTAAATGTTTAATTTCGCTGTTAAAAATTAATAGCTATTTTAAAACTATTTTTAATTGAAATATTTTATTTAGTAAATACATATCAATGCTTTTTTAAAAATTATAAATTTTTAAAAACATTATAAATATATATATATAGAAGTGTGTGTTTGCTGAAATAAATAATAATCATCATTTTTGAAATTCTTGAATTGTTTGTTCACAATGTTTTCATAATCATTAACAGTAAACAATGGTATACATTATTTGAGATTTTTACTACAATTCTTATAAACGCAATTTTTTTTACAGATAGTATTATATTTTGTGTTTCATAATAGGATTAAATTCGTTAAATTAAGTCATTTTCTACCATATCATACCTGCCAACTTTCACTCTTTCCGAGAACTGATTATCAGAGTGGTTGTGAAACAATGAACAAAAAACAATCTGACTAAAAGATGTATTTATACTTTGATCCCATTGAAATTCGCTAGAGCATGGATTATTATGCTTTTATATATTTATTGTAATTATTTATATGTAGTGGTGATCAAACTCATTTGTAATTATCATTATAGTTCAAGAAGTTAATTGGAATAACATGAGAACATTGGAATAACACTTTAAATATGAAAATAAAATCTTCCGGAAAATCCGGAAGGGTTGGCAGGTATGCCATATCAATAAATTGTAATTAATTTTATATTTAGGGATTATTGAAAGAAATGTTATTTTTTCTTTTGTTATTTCATTATTGTATAAAATTGTAGACACTAAGAAGCTGTCAGAAAAAAAAATTTAAATATGCTGGTGAGGAAAGAAAACTTAGATTTTCCAAAACCATAATAATGAAGAAAACTAAAGTACAAAGAGTTGGAAAATCTCATAACCTTGAAACATTGATTCTATTTACAAAGCAACGCTGTAACTTCTCCAACTTACAGCCATGTGCAGTAAATTCTTTAAACTGTTTCACGGAATTTGAGACTTTAAAAGAACTGACGTTTCCTATCTTCCAGATTTTTTTCTATAGTGACTTTTATTAATTGATGCATTTTAATGAAGATATTTATTGTTATTTATTAAAAATTAATGCTTTTTTTTTTACAGAGAAGTGATTGAAAGAAAACCTGAAGAATTCAAAATTAGCTGCTTAAAAGATATACAGTCATTGTACCCAACTTACATGGGAAATCCTTTTTATGCCGGGTTTGGTAACAAAATAAACGTAAGTCTGAATAATTTTTGTGAGCAACAATTTTATCTTGACTCCAGTTTAGCTCAAAATCATCTCAATATGGTTCCTATATGAACATGCAGCAAGGGACCTATATTGGGATGCCTAGATTTTTAATATTAGTCATATAAAGGGCCAATATCGAGCCTATATTGGGTGAAAAATTAATATAAAATATCGATGAACCTGATAATTCTATATAAGGCTTATATTGGTTGTTAAGTGACCATTTCATTTTCTTTTCTGTTTGTTTTGTTTTTATTTCCCACTTGCACAAATTCATAATCTTTTAATTATATTTTTTGCTTTTGAAACAAATGAATAAAAATAGCCTACTTTTGTTTTCTTGGCATTTCAATCATATAATTTAATCCATTTGTTAAAAAAAACATGTGAGCAGAGCACTGACTTCATTCAGCTTTTGGAAATTCCTTTCAGTAACTTAATTTATAATTTAAATCTTCACTTCTATAATTTCACCAAAAAATATGAAAATAAAGAGTTAATAATAAATCTATTTCTAAACTTCAAAGCAAATAAATTAAAAATTGTTGCTCTTGAAAACTCGAAGATATGGCTTATTGCATTTTCAAACATTGTTTCAATGTTCCAAAATGCTATAATTTTTATCGGTGATTGTTTAAATTTAAGCAATTTTCGCATTTACTTATATAATTTTAAAATATTTATTATTGCTTTAAAAATTTTTCACCCTGTGTGTTACAAATTAACCAACTTATCAGAAACCTATGGGTATTACTTATTCATAACTGAAGTGTGATTTTTTTATTGCCAAAATTTTATGCACATTTAATTTTATGAAGAAAAAAATATTTTTGTTGCAAGCGATTTTTTGGAGTGTTCTACCGTTATTTAAAAATTTTTTGATTTGTAAAGCCAAGCTTTATGTATTCTTTACTTAATTATGGATATTGATGTACATAATCATGTGAAATATTTTTTAGGACAATTGGGCGTACCGAGCTGTCGGAATTCCTCTTACACGATCATTTACTATTAATCATAGAGGAGAGCTTAAATTAGAACTCATTCAGACATTCCAATCTTCGTAAGTTTTGCTCCTTTCCAATATTTATTATTAATCTCATCGAGTGAAAATGTATTGGTTGTAACACATATAGATGGTTAACTAAATGTAAACAGTAACAAGCTTCCTAAAACGGGGAGAAATTTAGAAAACTATTGGTTATGCTTACGAGTTCCATGTTTTGAGTGTTATCCCTTATTTGGCTATATTTGTGTAAAGAGCCGTAATGACTATGGGGATATAGCATTTGCCTTCCAATGAAGTGTACCGGGTTCGAATCCCAGCCATTGGCTAGTTGATACGAATTCTGCATGCGGCTTGAACCGGCCACAGTGCAGGCGTGAAATATCCTCAGTGGTAGATTGATCATGGGCTTGAGTCCCCTTGCCGTCGGGCTAACCGTAGGAGGTTCTCATGGTCTTCCTCTCCATATAACGCAAACGCGGGTTAGTTCCATCAAAAAGTCCTCTACGAAGGCAAAATTTCTCCCAATGCTTGATCCAGGAGTTCCCTTGTCTTCTGGATTGGTTCAAAATTACAAGGCTGCAGTGTTGAACACGGGTAGTAAAAAACCCAAAAATTAGGTCGGCTTTTCAATGGCGGTAATAAAATAAAATCATCCTTTGATAGTGTTCAGTATGATGGATGTAAAGACATATAATACACACGTAACAATAAATAAAACAATTTAGTTACAGTATAATTTAAAGTCGAGGAAGAATTTGATGATAAGAGAAAATATATCCATTGCTGTTGAATTAGTAACCAAAAAAGAATGCAATTTTCTGAAAGAATATTAAGTTAGTATTTTAAAATTTATAATATTGTGTTATGATATATCTATTGATTATATTCTTCAAAAGCAATTTCTTGGTGATAATGTTGCCATTAGATTTTTATACTGCCTACCTGAATTTAAAAATATATAAACTGGTTGAAATATTATAATGTATTTTCAGGAATGAAACTGCCATTTGTTGAAAAATAAAGTTTATTTTTTAGATGTGTGTAACTTTCTCAGTTAAAATCGGTAGTATGTTGTATATTTGTGCAGCTCTTAAAATAAACAATCGATCCAACAGATTTAGATGTTACGCATGTAATTCAAACTTAGAAGAATACTCACAATTTTGGCACCACTTTATTTTTATATAAATATATATGTTATGCAGTCAAACTTCTATTTAACAAACTTCCATTTTGCAAATTTGTCTATTTTGCGATTTTTTTTTTCGAGGAACCAAGAGCATTTTAAAAATTTCTTCATAAAATAACTTACAATATCAAATATTAATAAATAACCAAATAGCAAAGTGAATTTTCTATTTAACGAACTTTTCTTTACAATCCACTTTCCCTATTCCCCAAAATATTTTGGAACATTTAAAACTTGTTAACAGATTTTAGGGGGGAAATGACCTTGAATGGATTTTCGCAGCCACTTTTCGAGAAAGTGATAAAATCCCTTTTCCTTTTTGTTCGCATTTCATACAGGAATCCACGAAAGTCAATTTACCAGAAAGCATAACAAAAATTTCTAAAGCATGGAACTATGTTACAGATCATACTATTTGTAACAGTAAAGGTGGGTTCTTAGTCGCCGCAGAGAATTTGGAAAGTGCAGAGGACAAGGATGGCATTCCATTAGAAGAACTTAAAAAAATATGGGTACAACTAAGAGAGAACTATGAAATTATTGATGAACTGATTAATGATTTTCATTTTATTGATTCTAATGCTGCAACCATAGAAACGCATATTTTGGACAGTGTGAAAAATAAAAACAATACAGCAATAAATTGTGAGAAAGAAGATAAAGGTCGAAATGATGAAGAAATCACCATACTTTCATATGATAAAATATTAAAATCATTTGAAACAGTTAGATAGTAGATAATAATTTACAAGATAAAGGTGTATCAATTGCTATTTCAATTATGTCTCATGCTTATGAATTTTAGACCTGTTTAGTGTGGTTTAAGTATTTCAAATGGTGATTTTCTATTTAACGAATTTTCCATTTATACAAACTTTTTATCGAAAATTAGCGACTTCGTTAAATAGGAGTCCGACTGTTTATATATATCTACACACACGTATGTATATATAGATAGATAGACATTAAAATTTATTTCAATGTTAAATATATATGAATAGACAAATATTAAAATTTTATTTCTAGTTGAAATTAAGAAAAAATAATCATACATTTTATGTTATAGTGAAAATTAAATGGTAAAGACATTTTGAAATGCTGTTTATTTATATACCAAAGTATTACATTGAAACATAAGCTGTTATGAAGTAAGCTTATAATTTTTTTTTTTCTCTCACAGATACACCAGATTAAGTGATGATGTTGATCATGTTTTCCCTCCTTTAAAACCAAGCACAAGGGTGAATGGTCATCCCACCCCCATATTTTCCTCCCCTGAAGAATACAGTTACTTTACGTATTGGAGGGAGCCTGTTCGGATCCTCGACGATGATGATGATCTTACAGTATAAATACAGTGAGTATCCAGGCATTTCTCTTACATTCGCAATCTGTGAATAGCTTCTGTATAACTACTATTGAACTTTGTTAATCAGAATTACTGTGGGCTGTCTGGGTTACCAGAAACTCCAATTATAATAGAAGTGCAGTTTTTGTGGGCAAAGCTAAGTTTTCCAATTTTGTCAGATCTCAATAACTCGACATTTCAGCAAACTTTTTTATAATTATTGTAAATCAATAATAGTTTTATTAATTGTAAAAGTCAATAAATGATAGAGCATTGAATAAAATCAAATTTTTTTTAATATGAAAAAAATTATCTTACCAAAAAACTCTTTTTAAAAAAAATATTAGTTATAAAATTAATGTATTTTTAAATTTTATAAAATGCAAAATTTGGTGAAAAAAATTTTGAGACATATTTTTTTTTGATCTTTTCAGCAATTTTATTTTTAATTTCTGTTTTTAAAATTTAGGAGGAAGTAGACATTTTTTATGATTTAAATAAATATTAATGAAAATTGATTAAGTAATTTTAAGTGAATTTTTTATTTTTTTTTTCAACAGTCCTATTTTTTTTTTAAAAAAAGAAACTTACTATTTTTCTTACCATTTTCTGAAAATTTTGGCTCCTGTCCCTGGATGTAACTACCAGTACGATTATTAAATATAAATTCACCAGTATATAACTCTATTCAATCTTGAGATACCTTTTTAGAGATTAAGGTTGACATTGTCAATTACTCCTTTCCCCACAAAAGCTTTTTTTTTTTTGTTTCTTTTTGCTTAACCCTTAATTAAAGACATGAGTTGATAGATTTAGAAATAAAATAAAATTCTTATTGAAAAATACATAAGTAAAATATTTACCTATTAATGTTCACCCCAACCAGAATTCTCCTGAACCCTCAGAAAATAACACCTCAAAAGAAAGTAAAAAGAAAATACCACCTCAAACATATCTCCATAATGCTTGTGGATATTCGATGACTTTTTATAACATTTATCCGCCAATATTTGTTCTTTTGACATTGGTATTCGAATTATTTATTTCCTTTAAAATTTAGAAAAATTCTCCACAAGTTCCCAGCGTCTGAGAAAGTCATCGTTTTGCTGATTATAAACGCGCAAAAGTGGATACCAAAAATTTAAAAAATAATTGATCTTTTAACCTTTATTGTTTAAACTACAAATGGTACCATAATGATCTTATTCGGTCAGTAGGCTGCGCTATTAACGGTCAGTAGGCTGGTGGGTGACCACTTTGATCAACCTGCAAAGGAATTGAAGCACAGTATTAGTCCGCTTTAAACTGTTCTACTTTTTATATTATTTTATAACCATCGTTGAACATCCGACCCAATTTTTGGGTTCAGGAATACAAGTATTCAGCTCGATAGATTTATAATTTTGAACACTATCCAGAAGACAAGGATATTTTACATCAGCACTGTGGTCTGTGCTAGCCGCGGGCAGAATTTGAATCAACCAGCCAAACCTGGGACCGAACCTAGGTCACCTCATTGGCAGGCAAGCGTTCTATTCCCTGAGCCTCTGCGACTTAAAACTGTTCTACTGCAAAAAGCTTAGATTTTGTTCACTGGCCGCCTGGCTATTAAACGATGGAAGCCATTTCCTACTCAAAGGTTAAAAATTGTTTAGGCGTGTCTTCATATCATCCTCGGGCTGTTTCCCAAGTAGTCTTTAGATAACCAGTTAGCTTTAGTGCAACATAAAGTACTTCTACTACTAAATGAGAAATTTATGATAAAAAATGTACATATGGTGCGTAGCGTTTTTAAAAAGTGCTTAAAGGTACTTATTTTCGAATTTGGCTTTTTAAAAGCCCCTAAAGGTGTTTTTTTTTTCATGGATTATTTTTAAAAAATTTCTTATTTTTCCCTTTTTGAAAATGACTTTTCTTTGTCATGTCGATTTTCACCACGTATGCAAAAGCGTGAGTTTCGCATTGTTCTATTCAACGTTTTCACAATTCATTCAACCACAATCTCTTTCGACATACCTTAGGACCATAGCGTATCAAAGCGCTAACCATTTTACATGTTTGATGAAATACTTTTACTTACAGGTGCTTGTTTTTGTTTTCTTAAAAGCCCTTTAAGGTGCTTTTTTTCATTGGGTGTTTGAAAAGTGAATTGAAATCCACAATCCATTTCGGCATACCGTCGTTCTATATCATATGAAAATGCCAATCATTTTAAATATTTGATGAAATACTTGTGAGTCTGTCTACTGCGATTGTTGCACTCTGAGTGCAACTCTGCTGCATTTTGCAAGATATTCTCAATTTCAGGCTTCATTTTCCACCCGCTGATATCAAACCAAAAAATCTCTTTATCATTTTATAGTGACTAATATAATCAAGAAGAGTTTTTTGTCGGAAACTAGTTATTTTATCATGATCATGTAAAGTCTTTAATTATTTTACATTTTGTTAATGTATATAGTGCTTAAAAATATTTTTGAGTGCTTAAAAAGTACTTAAAAGATGCTTATATTTTGTTGAAAGATTTGGCTACTCACCCTGTGTACAAATTATGTACAAGCCACAAAATGTAGCTCTCAGAAAGAGCAAAAAAGTAAAAAGCTCTTAGTCTCTTGCTTCATAACATTTATACTAAATGTAATGTGTACATATACGGATGAAGTAATTAAAATGTGTGTGTTTTTTTTTTTCAGATTTGGTATTTCAGCGGATTGAAATGTACAAATCATGTGATCGGAAATTATTGTGCTCTGCGAGACCTCATTTTAGGTGTGTGTAAGGAAAAGCTTGCTTTCCGAGACATCGTTTCGAAAAAATGTGCCCCGTCAATTGAAACTTATCTTTCGGTCGCACATCATGCATTGTATAGTTTGAAGGAGAGAAAAAAAAACTTGATATTTGTTTATAGGAGCTTATTTTTGTATAATATTGTTGATTTTTCTTCTGCTTCACCATTTTGTTTTGTTTTTCTCAATAATCTCTCCTGGCATTCATTATACAAATTATGTCATTCTATTTTTTTTTTAATTTAGAATCTTCTGAATTACAATATTTGTGTATTCATAAACAACTGAAGAGAAAAGCTAAAATTGAAAAAGCAGCCTCAAAATGTATTATAAAAATATCGAGAAGCTGGGTAAAAAATTTTTCCTCCTAATTACTTTTTTAAGATTTAGCAGAGTAAGTTGATGCTCATTCACTGTAAAACTATAACAATCTTTTAAACCTGGAAATTTAAGAGCTTTGTTTTTTTTTATTTTTTTTTTATTCGACAGTAATCCATTGTTGAATGAAATTTTACAATGTTAATCGGTGGGAACAAGCAGCTGTTTCTGCATAAAAAGCACTCTTTTTACATAAAATCATGGCTACGTAGAATTTATCATCTTATGTGAGGTAACAAAAGAACAATTTGTTTGTTAGTTGCTTTGATCTTGCCAAAGAAATCTGAAAGTTGCAATTTTTGATGTTCCATCTACCTTTTTTATTAATTTGATCGTCTTAGCTTCCATTTCTGCTGAAAGGAAGCATTTTTTGTGCAACAAAAATGTGATATTTATGTGCAAATAAAATCTGAAGACAGTCATACGAAATCAGTTTATAATTCGGAATTAAATGCTGCATTGCACAAAGGGTTTATTCTTTTAAGAAGTACGACTGTTTAGTACAATAGAGCGAGTGACTTTTCATATATCTTTATAAATATTTGACAGAAACACATTTATTAAAGTACCCTATTGAAATTTAATACTGTAAAGCACTCTAATTTCAAAAGTTAAAATTCTATTTTCTGAATCAATTTGATGAAAATTGTTTTAAAAAAATCATTACATATGCTTACCAGGTGTTTAGATTATCCTCAAGCTATTTCTTATATTTGAGGTCTGACTGTACCTTCATTACATGTATTTTCTTCACCCTCTAAATACTCATTCAAAAATATGGATGTAAGTAAATCCTTATTTTTTACTCCTTATTTACGTTAGTAAATATTTTGTTTTGCTAGAAACTTCAATCATGTTTAAAAAGAATGTATATTTTTTAGTTGTTAGAAAAAAAAATGTATTGAACCATTAATAATGAAAATATTATTAATTTTATGGATCCCCTATGCTGTAACATATCAACTATTTATAAGATGTATAATTTTAAAAAAAGTGTGTGAAATATTTCAAAATAAATTGGCTTCCATTTTTATTTATTATTGTTTTCATTTTTTAAAGCGAGTGCTTGTTTTTTTGTTTTTTTTTTTTTAAAATTTTGTAGACGCCATTGAACAGCCGACCCAATTTTTCGGGTTTACAGCTGCTAATATTCCACTCCGTAGCCTTGTAATTTTGAACGCAGTCCAGAAGACAAGGGAACTCCTGGATCAAGACAATTTTCATGCAGTGTAGCGTTTTTGAAAAGTGCTTAATGGTGCTTATTTTCGTTTTTCAAAAGCCCTTAAAGGTGCTTTTTTTCATTGGATGTTTTTGAAAAGCGCTTAATCCACAATGCATTTTGGCGTACCGTCGGTCCATAGCATATGAAAGTGCCAATCATTTTACATGTTTGATGAAATACTTGTGAGTCTGCATGTGCGTCTACTGAGCTGAGTTCGGTGAGATTCTAGCACTCTAATGTGCAACTCAGCTGTATTTTGCAAGAGATTCTCAATTTCCGCCTTCATTTTCCACCCTCTGAAATCAAACCGAAAAATCTCTCGATCTTTTTATGGTGGCTCATACAATCAAGAAAAAAAAAGAGTTCCTTGTCAGAAACTAGTTATTTTATCATGATCATGTGAAGTCTTTGAAAATTATTTAGCTTCTTATTAATGTATACAGTGCTTAAAAATATCTTTTGAGTGCTGGAAAGGTGCTTATTTTTTGTTGAAAGATTTGGCTGCGCATCCTGACTTTTAGTGTAATATTTTAAAAGGTAATCATACAAAAAATTCAAATTACAATGAAACCTCTCTAGAGCGACCACTCTCCGTTTCACAAATTGCGGGAGGTTGTCCTTTCATAGAGGTTACCTCATTTAACTTCAAAAATTTTGTCCAGGCATGATTTTTTGCACACGATTTTATTTCCAGTCAGTGTCATTTTCTGGATGTGGAAATGCCACTTCTGTTGGGGTCATAAAAAGAAGTATTTCGGAATAAAATTTAACATCTATGAAAATGAACCCAACTGATGTAATTATGAGTAAAAACAAATTTACTAATTACCATCGTCAGCGCTATTTTGAATAAATAACCACGTACGTTTTTTGTTTGAATTTGCATTTAATTTTCTATCGTAAAAATAAGTTAGCTTTATAAAATGAGAAGTGGTTCGTTTTTTCGAAAATAACTTTCAACTCTATGAGTAAATTGTTGATAGCATCGTCTTTAAGTACATTCTGACAGCAACATGAAATTGTACCGTCAAAGAGAGCTCTCTAAATAAATAAGAGCCTCACACAAATACTTTGAATACATTTTAATCTACTTATCTGTATTAGATTAATAATTTTTGTTTTGATATTTTTTATTATTTGACCTTTTCCGCATTTGATGCAGATGTTTGCCAGGACGCTTAGAGAGGTTTTCTTCAACTCTAAGTCTGAAAAAAAAAAATTCTGTGCCTCCCAAAAGTGGTCGTAAAGAGAGGTTGTCTTTCCTGGAGGTTTACAATTTAACATTATTTGTGCACTAAATTCTTAGGACTGAGCAAAAAATTCAAATTAAATAAGTTTGAATTTATCTATCGAGACTTCCTTAATGTTCTTCACAAGGATTTTGAAAGATGGTGTATGTAATTTTAAAAAAACAACAAGAGAAAACAAATAATAAAAAGTTTATTTAGAAACCACCAAAAGTCCTCCGAAAATGGAGAAAATGTAATAAACAGCTGAGCGCTGTGTATGCCAACAAAGACAGTTCATTTTCAACAATGCTTTTTTTTTTTTAAATTTACATGAGAATGCAAAAAACCATTTTTGTTTTGAATTGTAGGATTTTTTTTTACATATATCTAATTAACAATTCATATTAATTGTAAAACAGTCTGACATACGAAGGTCGTTTATTAATTCACACATTTCTTAATAAAAAAACATAGAAGTGGAACACATCTTCAGTTTTAGCGAAGTTGACCTAATAGAGATTTCACTATCGCTAAAATATGGTATTTCTTACAACAAAATTTCTGCTTTACTGCTACAATATCCAAAACAAACATATCAATTCTCAATTTTTTTTTTCTTTTTTGTAAAATTGCTGAAAATTCCCTCTTAAAAATTGACATTTTTAGTTAATATCTTTGCTAATGCTTTTTTTTTTTTTATCTAAATATATTTCCAAACAGGAAAAAAAAATTTCCCTAATAGTTATAAAATAGTTGCTACCAACTACCTCCCAACACTTAATACTATTGTTGAAAAAATATTTTAGTCAATATTCAGTTTTTTCCCCGCCTTTAATGAAGTTCAACGAATCGAAAATTACTTCTTACATAGTACGTCCATCCTTAAATTCTCCTGCATTTCATCCAAATTGCATATTTAGTTAAGCATAGCATATATGATAATTAAGTTAGATAAAAAAATTTTATGTGGTTACAATGTGGCAGTTTATGTAAAATATACATTCAGAAACATACAATGACACATTCAAGAAGATAGTGCAATAAATTAACAACAAAGTTTGGCCTAAATAAAAAGTATTGTATTAGTTAAATATAACTTATCACAAAAGATTGAAGCTATTTACTATTTTTTAAATGTATTTATCTTAAAAAGTAGTTTTGTTATCAAAAAGTGTTGTAAATAGTTTATAATCTGTATTGCTTTTTTTTTTAAAAAAATCAAATAAATGTATTCGATATTCTTTATGGTTAGGGTCAAGTGTCTCAAGGTTACTCGATTTTTTCCACTTTTTTAGTCAAATTTTGCTGTCACCAACGCCTAGTGGCGTAGTTTTGGGGGACAAAACCCTCTCCGAAATTAATTAAACATTACTTGCTTGATGAACTGTTGTAGGATGTAGTTATAAAAATATTTTCATATTCATTTTTTTTTTTAGATTTTAATGCTTAAGATTATATATATATTAGAAGGACATAACTGATAACCCACCTCGAACATACATTAAAACTACGCTACTGCCAACACTTTTAGTTGATGCATTACTGCAATACGAAATTAGAATATACTGGCGGAGGGAGAAGCAAGATTTGCCAAAATCACCGTAATGAAGAGAAGGAAATCGCGTAACCGTGAAGAACCTTGTGAAATCTGGACATTATGTTTGAATAACGAATTAATTCCTGTTCTATTTTTAAATTGGATCAAAGTTATCCTTTGTTAATATGGTATTTTTTTTCTTAATTTACTAAAGATTCTTACTTATGAAAGTAATTTTTTCTTTCTTCAGTTTAAAAAAAAAAGTAATTATTAAAGTAGGAAAGTTTTTTTGCTTCTCTCTATCCTATATAGAGATGGCATATTTTCAAGGTACTTATGAAAATATTGTGTGAGTTACATAATCATTTAAATTGTATCAAATCTAGTAAAAAATGGTATCAAAAATGTCAGTAAAATTATTTTTTTAAATAAATCTAAATTGAACAAAAATATTAAAAGCACAATTTTTTTTTTTTTTTTTTTACAAAAGAGCTAATCTGGTAAACAATGGTATCAAAAATACAAATTAAATTATTTCTTTAAATAAATCTAAATTGAACAAAAATAACCTTATTAAAAGCACTTTTTATTTTTGACGAAAGAACTTATCTGGTAAAAAGTGGTATCAAAAATACAAATACTAAATCTAAATTGAACAAAAATATTAAAATAACCTTATTAAAAGCACACATTTTTTTTTATCACATACTTTGATACTTTACTTTTTACTTACAATAAAATATTCACTTGGAGCAAGGCAATATTTCCACGCTAAAGAAACTTTTTTTTTTATCCTAGTCTTTGCTAAAAAACCTGGGCTAGGAATTTTGTAGTTTAATACTCTCTTGGTAAAATAAATGATAAATTTATTGCTCTAACTTGAAACGAACCAGGATGTATTTTCTATTAATCTAACATACAATGGCAGACATTAAAAAAATTGTTTATAGTAAGAAAGTGCAATAATACAACTACTGAAAACGATAACTGAGAGATTAGTCTCCTTTTTTTTATGTATTTACATAAAAATTTTTTTATGTGTGTTTGATGTGGGACAAAAACAACAACAAATATCGAATGGCTTGCAGAAAAGAATCATCACAATTTCAAACGAAAGAAGCACTTCAAACAATGTATACTTCTTCGAATCCAGTTCTTCCGGTCCATGGGAAGGTAGAAGGACATGGCTGGCACGTCTTTAGATTACGGGTTCCACCACCTTTGTAGTTCAGGTTGCAAGATTTCGGATGATGGCAAGGTCCAGGTACGTCAGGATCTTTAGGACACTGGAATGGCTTGAAAGAGTGGATTTTAGACAAAGGCGTCGGATCTCGCATCCACTGGATGGCTTGCCAGTTGGTCACCATGTAGACGTCGTCCTTTGAGTTGATGTAGTCGATGAACTTCAAGTAACCCTTTCTGTAGTGCTGTGTTGTAAACCAGGCCGCGTGATAAAACAGTCCAAAGGGAGCCCGGTTCGTATTGTAGTGACGTTCGAAGTTCTTAAGAAGCATCTTGTAGACGTCTTCTGCGTTATCCGGATTGGCACAGGCATCTCCCATCGAACAACGCCCTCCTCTATAGTCATTCCACATGACCATGCCGACCTGAAATAATTTATTTACATTCTATAAATATCACAGGTTTACAAAGTAAAATAAAACAGTTTGTTGGATTGGGTATCAATCTTTTATTTATTTATTAAACTAGGATGCTTGTCTTCATTTCTTGTTCGGCATGTTTCGAGACTGCATACGTGGTTTTCAGTACAAGTGTAACAGTTAATGAGTCTAATTATCGGAAGTTATATTATTTTATTCAAATTTAGACCTTGGATATTTCTCTGCATACGTGTTACAGAATTTGTGGGGCAAAACAAAATTTAGCATTTAAGTTGAACACAAAAGCTTTTGGTTTTTTAGTATAGATACTTTCTTACGTTTTGCACTTCTATAAGAAAATTTTAATAAATATAAATTATGTGTATAGCATAAAATTTTATTTAGTCCCACTATTTTTTAATTAAAACCCTAAAGCATCTAATACCAGGGGTCTGTTTAGAACAAATTTGGATCCGTTAACGGACCCTTCACACAATATTTTAACTGAAAAACGGACCCTTCACAAAATGATTTTTCTTTTAATCGGACCCTTCACAAATTTGTTTATTTTCATTATTGTTTTGTTAATTGAATAAACCCTTCCCAGGGCAGAAAACAAGAAAGATGGATGTAAACGAATTAAGTTTTGTCTTCGGCAGACGATTCTTCCATTATTCGTCCGAAATTAATATTCTGCGTTCAGCAGTATAGGCTAAATACCAAATATTTGTATGTTGCATCTCTAATTTA